TAACTAATTGAGAACTAGCATTTTCAACAGCTTTACCAGCAATTAAAGCAACTAATAAAGAAATAAAATTTAAAAATATTAAAGATTTCATATTAAATTTATTTTAAAAAGATGTAAAATTATTAAAAAACTGTTTTTTTAAAAAATTAATACAAGAAAAATTAAGTCTTTATAAATTTTTTTAGAATGAATAAAAAAAAAAAAAAACTCTTTGGCTTTTATATATAAATATATATTTTATGTTCTTTTGAATATAATAAATATTAATAATAGGATAATACATTAATGAAGAAAATAAAAAATATATATATATTATATTTATATATATTTTTATATAATATCTATATCAATATCAATAAAAAATTTTTTAAAATATCTATATAGAAATATATTAAAAAATTAGTATTTTATTATTTAAAATAAATTAATTTTAATTTATATAAATTAAATTTAATATAAATAAATTGTATACAACGATAATAAAAATTTTATTATTATTTATTATTATTATTATTATTATTTATTATTTATTATTATTATTTATTATTTATAATTTTTTTTAAAAAAAAAAAAAAAAAAAAGAGAAAAAAACAATTAATGATAAAATAATAAAAAAAAAAAGTTTTTTTGTGAAACATAATAAAAATTTATTAAAAATTTAATTTAATAAAAAAAAAAAATTCAAATAATTAATCTTTTTTTTTGTAGATCAAATAAAAATAAATAATTTAAAGGAATAAATTTTAAGATATTGAAAAAAAGAAAAACGGTGAAACTATTACTAGAAAAAAAAAAAAAAAAAGATTAACGGTACATATAAAAATTAATTAAAATAAATAAAAAAATAAATATAAAAAGTATTTAACGGCATTTATAAAAATTATTTTTTTATTTTTTTTTAATTTTTTAATTTTTTAATTTTTAATTTTTTATATTTTTAAATTAAAAAAAAAAAAAGAGAGAAAAGAGATGATATAACTCGATTCTAATTTCCACTTTTTGGGAGAAGCGATTATATTCTTTTTAATATTTATTTTTATTTATTTAGTAATAATAATTAGTTAATTAACAACTTAACAATTACATAATATAAAATAATTTACATTTATACTAATTTATAATAAAGTTTTCATATAATAAAATATAAAGTTTAATAAAATATATATACATAATTAAATGTTATAAAATATAATAAATATTAGAAATAAAATAAAAGTTATTTAATATAATAAATTATTAATAATACACAATGAATTTCATATTTTTATGTTATCATTAATTTCCTAAATTCTAATGATATTTTCACTAGCCACAATTATAATAATTTACCAATTTACAATTAACATAATTTTTAATATATTTATGTGTTTATAATAAATTAATTTTTATATTAATTAAAGTTTTTATTTATATTCTATATCAGAGAGAAAAGAGAAAGGATGATTTGAAAGGAAAGAAAATTGAATGATATAAAATACTAATAATAATCAAACCTTAATTAATATAGAATAGTTTTTATGATTCAAACATAAATTAATGTCATAAATCAAATTTAAATCTAATGATTTTATAGTATTCTTGATATGTGGCTTGATTTATAAAATTTAATTATATTTATAATTAATATAATTAATAAATAAATTTTATATTATTAATGTTTTAATTATATTCTTATAAATTTATATTTATGTAGTTATTAAATATTTCCTTAAATTATAATTATTAATATTTATAATATTTTAACATAAAGATTCATTTAATAGTTTATTTTAATCACAAGAACAATTAATTAAATAGTTTATAAATATCATAAAAATAATACATTTCTCTGAATTAAGAGAAGTGTGTAAGAAAGTTGTTAGAAAGTTTTAAATGTGTAGTCAAGTATATTACTTGAATAAATAATATATGTAATTAATAAATAATTAAAATAAATAAATTATAATAATAAAATTAAATAAATTAATAAATAATACTTTAATAAATTTAATAAATAAAACCCAACAATCAACTTCCTCAAACCAGAGGTATATATCATGAATAAATGGGAATTATAATTATAAAATATAATTTATTAATAAATTTAAATTATTAATTGTTTTATTTTTTCCCTTTTTTTTTTGTTTAAAATATTAAATTTTCATAATTTAGTTAAAAAAATAAAAATAGAAAATAGAAATTAATAATAATAATTAACATTTAATAAAATATAATAAAAAACAATAAATATTTTATACAAGGATGAATAATTATTAAAGTAAGGAAAATAATATACTTTTATTGTTTTATTTATTAATTACCCAAAAAAAAATATTATTAATAAAAATAAATATTTTATTCATATTAATATATATAATAATTTTTTTTTAATTATTTTAATTTTTATATCATTTATCTATAATTATAATATAGAAATTAGAAAATATAAGAAATATTTATTAAAAATGTAGAGTAATTCAATAAAAGAAAAAATTCATTATTAAATATAAAATTCTAAAAATATTAAATATTACATATTAAATATGAAATATGAAATATAAGTAATAAATATAATATATATATATATATAATATAAATATAAATATTAATATAAATATAAAATATAAATATAAATGTAAATATAAAATATAAAATATAAATAATAAATATAAATAATATATAAGGATATATTTTTTAAAAGGATTTTATGATATTGTTTTATGACGTGTTTTATATATATATATTTAATATATTAAAGAATGAAAAAATAATTAAAATAAGTAAAAAATAATTAAAAAATAAAAATTTAAATAATTTAAAAAATAATTTAAAAAATTAATTTTAATAATTTATAAAAAAAAAAAAAAAAAAAAAAAAAAAAAAAAAAATTTAATGTTACACGTAACACGTAACCATAAAAAAAAAAAAAAAAAAGGATAAAATAAATAAATTAAAATTAAAATAAAAATTAAAATAAAAATAAAAATAATAATAATAATAATAATAATAAAAAAAGGATAAAAATTTATGAGTAGTTTAAATTCCATTCGATATTTAGGAGATATCACAAAAAAATATAAAGAAATCTTTGATGTAAAAAAAAAAAAAAAATAAATTAAAAAAAAAAAATAAATTAAAAAAAAAAATTATAATTAAATAATATTATTAAATATAGACAATAATTAATAATCAAATTTCGAAATAGTACTCAAAAATTGAGATCATTTATTAATGAAAAAAAAAAAACAGTAATAGTATTAAAAAAAATTATATCATGTGGATATCATTTATAATATTTTATTTTAATAAAAAATATTATATATTTACTATTATAATTTAAAAATTCTATGAAAAAAAAGTATTAATACCTTGAATGGCACTCACTTGGAATGTAATAATTATTATCTTCTTTTTTATCTCTAAAATAAAATAAAAAAGAAATTGGAAAATTAATAATAAATGATTTACTTCAAAATTGAATATTTCGAACACCGACACTTGTCCAATTAGTTTCTTTGTAAATATTATCTAAATTATAATATGTTGAATAGTTATCATTTGAAATGATACCATCTCTTTTATTCATTTGAATATTTAACTTATCTATATTTATAAAATTAAATTTTTTTTTGTCAATTTTTATCTCTATATTTTCTTTATATATTGTTCATATATACAAACAATACTTTCTGTTTCTTTGGCATTGACAACGTAGTAATTCAAAACTGGTGCAACATAACAGACCAAGTTTGATTTGAATAAAATAAATTCTAAAGTGGAATTATCTGAATGATTGATTATTTCTAATGAATTTTCATTAAATCTATTATCAAGTGTTAACTCTAATAATTATAATTTTTATTTTTATTATTATTATTTTTATTATTATTTTTTTTTTTATTGAATTATTATATTCTTTATAATAGTTAGATATTTTTATTATCTTATCTAATTACATACTTTTTATAATTATATATTTTTATTATCTTACATAATTATTTGTTTTTATAATAATTATAGTATTATTTTTTTTTATTATATTCTTTATAATAATTATATATATATATTTTTTATTACTTTATATTGTTAATTTTTTTTAATAATTATACACTTTTATTATTTTATATAATTCTAAACTTTTTATAAATTATAATTTGATTATCTTAAAATAGTTATTTATTTTATGTAATAATGTATTCTTTTTTTTTTATTATTATTTTATATTATTATTACTTTTATGTTTATATATATAATTAAAATATATATTAATATATTAATTTTTAAATGTAATATATAATTATATTGTTAATTATTATTTTTAGATTAATATAAAAAGGAATTAAAATCCCTTTCTTTTAAAATCTTTGAAAGATTATTAACTAAATGAAATTATCCTTAACTTAAAATAATTAATTATATCAATAATGATACTTAATATTAATTTTAATGAAATTTATTATTAAACATCAAATAAAGATTCTAATAAAACATAAATTTTTAAATAATGAATACCTTAATATAAAAATTTGACTATCATCAATTATTTTAATTTAATTAATTGTTTTAATTTATAATTAAACATTTTAGTCTGACCAACTTAACTCAAAAAAAAAAAAAAAAAAAAAAAAATAGAAATATCTTTTTCAAAATTCTATGTAATAATATGATTTGGTTATTTAATAATTTATAATAAAATATTTTTATAATAAAAAAAATTTTTTTTCTTTTAATAAGGAATTAAATATATAAATATACTGAAGAAATGTATATTAATTAGTGTTAAATAATTTATAATTAGTTATAATTAGAAAAATATAAATTTTTAACATCAAGAGTTTGTAATTACATTTGATGAAAATAATGTATAATAATTATTTAATAAATAAATTAAAGAATAAATAAAATAAGAGATTATTTAAATAGTTTAATATTTTTATATTAAGCTGTTTATATGATAATTTTTTGTTTTCTTATTAAAAATAAAAATTTCTATAAATATTGTAAAAAATTAAAATTAATAACACTCACAGCTATACTTGAACTCGCAATCTTCAGATAAGAAGTCCGACGCCCTGTCCGATTAGGCTACCTGAGGTAATTCGATTTTTTTTTTGTAAGAATCTATAATTATTTGCTAACAAATAATTATATTTTCTTAGTTAAGTTATTATAACTATAACTTTATTTAATTATATATAATATTTATTAAATTTATTTAATTTAATTTTAAATATTCATTAATTTAACAAAATTTATTTAATTAATTTTAAATAATATATTTACATAATGTTAAATTCTCTACTGTAACTAATGTATTCTGTATTTTATTGTATTCTGTATTTTATAATGTATTCTGTATTTTATAATGTATTCTGTATTTTATTAACTATTTAATTTTATATTTTTAATATAAGGATAAATTATATGATCGAAATATCTTTTATTATTTTATTCTTTTATTTTCGATCATTAGATTAGAAAATCGGTTAATTAAGATTTTTTCCAATTACTTTTTAGAAGTAATCGGTTTTACTTAATTAATGCGATGATCGATATGGATAGAATATCGATCGAAAACTTATCTAGGTTTTTCTATCTAATCTTTTCCTAGATAAGAGATTTGTTATGATTAGAAAACCCTTTCATATTTAACCTTATTTTCATAAAAAAATATAAATAAGGCTCTTGAGTTCTCTTTAAGAAATCAAGAGTTATTATTATAAAAAACATAGTTATAATAGTAACAATTTTATATTTTTAACTTTAATAAATTAATAAAAATATTTTATTCAAAAACATATTTTTAAAATCAATTTATACAAACAATTCTTCTCTTACTTTTTGTGTTATTATTATAATTAATTTTATAATAAACTCTACTCTAAAGGTAAAAAAATTTATTTTATTTTATTTTCTCAACTTAATGAATTAGTCGTTAAGTTGTAGTTAATAATTCTATTTTGAGTTAGTTCTTAATAGAATTATTACATTTTTGTTAGAAACTTAGATAAATTTATTATAAAATTTATCTATCTTTCTTATTTAATACATTAATTTAATACATTAAATTATTGTATTTATTTTAACCAATAATATTTAATTATTAATTTATATATATTTGATTCTCTTGAGTTCTCTTCGAGAAATCAAGAGTTATTATTTTAGAATTTTTATAATAAATAATAATTCAAATAAAATAATTAATTAATAAACAAACCCATTTTTAATAAAACATATTTTATAAATATTTGTGTCTTTTATCCCTTTTGTGTTATTGTTTATTATAAACTTTCTATAATAAACTCTCTTTTATATTTAAGTTAAGTATAATTATTTATTTATATTATTTTATATTTATTTAATTATATTTAATTTTATTTTCTCAAATTAATGTTAATTAGTAATAATTAATGTTAATTTGTAGTTAAGAAATTATTTATAATTAATTTTATAAGTAATTTCTTACATTTTTATAAATAACAAAATTAATAATTCTTGAAAATTTATTATACATAAAATCAATGTCACGAATACTAGTGAATTTGAGATTAAAATTCACTATTAGATCAATTGAAATTTAATTTAGTTATTGACAAAAATTATTTTAATTCGATTTTAATTATATAACCAAATATTAGAAACATTAAAGAATTAGAAACCAAAGGGTTTGGACTTATTTATTAAAGATAATTTAATTTAATTTAATTTAACCCTTAAAGAATTTGATAAAAATAATATGAAGAAAAACAAAGATAACTCAACAAATAATGGAAATATAACACATTGATTTCCCACTAAAATTATATCCGTTGGAAAGCTACGGACGAGAACTATAACATATGTCAAAATCAACCTTATTGGACAACTAGATAACGAGATATTGGACTCTAAAGATATTTAAATATAAAAATATAATTTAATTATTTAATTAAGACCTTAAATTATTAATTAAGAAATTTATATTAGATAAATCTCTTAACTTGAAAATTGTATTATTAATTTTTATTATTAATCAAAAATACAGAATTAGTTATTAGTAATAGTTTTATAATATTTTAAATAAGTTTTATAAGTTTTATATATTTTATTATTATATATTTTTATTCAATTATTTTCTAAAAGATTCTAAGGAATTCTTTATCATTCTAAAGATTTCCGAAAGAGAATTTTTAATTAGTTTTAATATTTTATTTTATTTTATTTTATTTTATATTTGATTATTAAATTAGTTTTATTATTAAATTGTTTTATGAATAATTTATATAGTTATTGTATTAAAAGATTCTTATCAATATTATTTTATTATTATATTTTATATAGTTTATATACATATATGAATATATTAAGATTAGAATGTATTATTTAATTATATTGTTAATTATTATTTTAGTTTAGTATAAAAAGGATTTGAAATTCTATATTTTGAATTCTTTGTAAGATTATTAATTATTAATCATTAACTTAGTAACCTTTAACTTTATAATTATATATTCTAACTATTAACATAAAGTTAATGAATTAATTATAACAATAAATAATTTTTTATATTAATCTTAGTTAAAATTTATTATTAAAATATATATTAAATAAAGTTCTAATAAAACATAAATCTTAAATATTGAAATCTTAATTATAAAACTCTGCGTGTGTTATTTATTATTTAAATTTAATTAAATTGTTATAATTAATAAAAACATCTTGACCTGACCAATTTAACCCAAACTAGGAAAGATTTAGCAAGAATCTTACCTATTACCTAATCAAACAATTTAAACTTTTTACAATCAATGTTAAAGTTTTTAGATAATTTGGTCTTAACGATTAGGTCAAGATGCCAAATTATAGTAATTAATTAATAATTTAATTTTACTCTTATTTAAAACATATTGTTATTAGTAAATTTTATAATTAAGTTTTTATTTAAAATATAAATTTTATTTAATCTTAATAATATTTTATTACATTATTATTTTATATAATTATTACTATAATTTAAATTACAATAATCCTACAAAGGATTAATCAAAAGATTTAAACATGTATTTATATAAAATAATTAATTATTAAAATATTAATTATTAATATGAATATGTAATAGTATTAATATAAGTTTGATATTGATAATATAAAATAAGATAGTAATATAAATATTTAATATAAATAAAATATAAGAATCTAATATAACTAAATATTATATTTTATAATTAAAATATACTATGTAGAAATTAATTTAATGACAATCACGTGTTTACATTATTTAATATATATTAATTTCAATATTTTAATAATATTTAGTAATTAGTTGGCCTAGACTATTTCCTAAATATTTTAATAATAATTTATTATTAATTATTAATATTGAAATTCAAATAACTGAATTATTGAAATTGAAATTGAAATTGAATTAAATGGAAATTCAGTTATTATCTTAACAATGCCCTTCCACAAAAATCGGATTCCAGACGATTTGTGTAACACTGTTAAAAAAATTTTTAATTTATTACAGAAAAATTTTTAATTTTTTAAAGTAAATAAGGAATTAAAAGGTCACTTGAATCCTTTGGAGAAGACCTTTTAAGTGACAATTTCGTGAAATTTGAAATTTGCCAAAAATTGTTAAAATTAAAATTTTATTATAAAATTCAATATTTTTAAATATATTGATATCATTTTTAATATATATTCCCTTTTAAATTTTTGAAATTGAAATTTTGAAATTTAATTGAAATTAACATTTCAATTTTTACCATTAACTATGAAATTTTTGAAAATTTTAAAAATATAGTAAATAATAAATATATTAAAATATAGAATTAATATTAAATCGTTGAATATATAATTTTTATTGAATTTTGAAATTTCGTAATGTGAAATTTTTAAATGTCGAAATTTGAAATTTTAAAATTTATAATTTCTAATTTTCTAAATTTTGAAATTGTAATTGAAAATTTATCAATTTAACTATTGAATATATTATAATATTCAATTTAGTATATTATAAACATGAATAATTATGAAAGCGTCCTTATCATAATTATCACTTAAACACAAAATAATACTATAAGAAAAGCGTCCTTCTCTATATAATATTAGATCAGTTCCAATAAGATATTGTTGAATTTTAAATTATAAGTACAATAAAATTATACTTTAATATTAAATTTTAACTAGTATTAATTTAATAACTATATAAATCTTAAAATTTTAACTATAACTCTTGTAGAGAATATTATTAACTGTAAAATAAGGGAAAAGTTGATTATTTTCAACTGTTTAATTATTATATAATTAAGGTTTTTAATTTCAAAGAAAAATTATTAATCCCAAATATTGATTCCTACTGAATATTTTTTTTTTTTTTTTTTTTTTTTTTTTTTTTTTTTTTTTTTTTTTTTTTTTTTTTAATTGGAATAATTCATTAATTGAAAAGTTTTAATAATTATTTTAATATTAGATTTTGGTAAATTGATATAAAAAAATTGATTTTAATAATTGAAAGTTTTAATGTCATATAAAATAAAACTATAGTAGTATATTTCATATCCAAATTTAGTTTTATTATAGTTAAAGTTATTTATTAATAACTATAATTAATTATTAATAATTGTATATTTGTTTCTAATGTAAATTATAATTGAAGATTATAAAATCTACAAGTGCAGTATCGATTTGATTTAAATAGTAAATTAATTATTATCAATAAAGTGTTTGTTAATTATATAATTCTTCGTATTTACATGATATGGTGGAGAAAAATCTAATTCATGAGAGTGTGCCTTTATCTTCCTTATTTTTGACTTGGAAGTGATGTTCTTTAAGACAAAAGAAATTAATACTGAAACTATTTTACTATTGTAAATTTTATAATTGTGGTTTGAGGTACTTGTTCCTAGTTTTGGTTTAACCTTGGTAACACTAATGTTACTTTTATATGTTAAATTATTACCTTGATTTAGGTTATGCTTAACTTTCAATTTATTATTAACCTTCTTAATTATATTTATTTTAGAATATTTATTATATTTGTTTGTTATTTCTTTATTATTTTCATTAATATTTAATTGATTGTTATAAGTGAAATAAACTTGATCTTTG